CTGTCGTTCACTGCTATCGTCATGCTTCAATTCTGGCACACCAGGAACCAGTACCACTTTCTTCATCGCATTTTGACATGACGAACTAGGGTTGGATTTCCGCTTCTGTATTTCTGTCGATGGCCCGTCAGGAAAAATGCGGGCACTGACAGAAGAGTTCACTGGCATGTGGCTTGCTAAGAGAACATATACCAGGTCGCGCGTGTTGCCAAACGTTACTCGCAGTAACCGAGGTTCCCCTACGTGTGGAGATGATGGATTTCGTGAAAGGCGTGTAAGACTAGTTGGGAGAACTTTCAGTCCGAGTGCGCAAGTTATTTCAGCCCAGCGGTTTTGCTCCTCGGCTTGTCTACCTTTTAGCGATTCGCTAGTGGGTTCTGGGACGTTTGAACATCACTGTCATCGCTTTTTGGTTGCGTAGTAATTGTTTGTTCTGTAGTTCCTTGTGAGCGTAGGTTTGTCGAGTGGCTGTGTCTGGCTTGTCTTCTGTGGACGATAGGCCAATGTTACAGCAAGATTTTTACGTGCAACGCCGTTAGTTGCACTATCTGTAGGAGTCAATTGTTGTTGCCCAGCTACTGACGGAGGTGACCGTGCAATTTGTGCGTAACTCTGCATGCTTTGGAGCATTACGTGAGACTTGGGAGGCCGTTCAACCGGCCTGTTTTCACTACTGTTTTTCACTAACGGTGGTTGCCTTTCGCTGGACTGGATAGCATTGTTGCTAGAGAGCTTTCGCCTTTTAACAGGTCGGGGATTCGGGCTAACTAATGCACTAATCCGCAACTCGATTTCTGAGATTTTCCCTCCCAATACCGCGATCAGTTCCTTTTGGTCTGCCGACGTAACAGCCAGCGCTTCACTCCTTATCTTAAGCGTTTGAACAATCTTAATTGTCGGACTATCTGAACATAAGTCACAGAACCACAACCTATCTGTCGATACGCTGTTAGCTCTGTTACTTGTAATGTTCACATTTGTTGCGTCGTAGGAAGTGGCACAGAAAGAACACGTGATTTTCGAGAGGATTTCAGTTCCCCGCTTGTCTGAGCTACGGTTGACCTTGAGTTTGTTGCTCACTTGATTCCTGGTTGACAAACATCTCCGGTCGCAAAAATAAGGCGGAAAATTTAAATTCTGTCACATTTTCTCTGATTCAGTAAATATTGGCTCGATATTTATTTGGGTGAAATAATACCCTGTACAGAGTACTTAAGTAAAGTTTTGCTTGGTCTCTGTCAGTTTTCGGCCATTTTTGGTGTTTTTGTTGATAATCTGGATTACACTATGTTTGTCCGATTACTATTTTCCTTGACTGCTTTGCAGACATAAGTTGTTCGGTTTACGTGCAGTGTTAGTTCTTCCATCGTCGTTTTTCAATTTTTATATTATGTTGGCTACACTGAGAAGCGACACTGTTGTAGTTCAGGGTTTTGAGGCCCACGAGGCCAACGCTGTTTGTGGCTAGTTGTGCTTCGCCAGTGACCGACGAATCTGGCGATATGCAGTGTGATGTCTGTAACAGTTGGTTTTATCAGCTCTGTATTGCCTTGTATTCTGACCAGTATCCAGCTCTTACTCATTTTTCATTTCTTACTACAAACGAAAGATTGCTTTTTAGCTGCGTTGGTTGTTGTGGACGTCGGCAAAATTGTCCCGCTGCTGTTACTTATGATCACCTATCGCTTGACGCCAGATCGCAAAAGGTGGAGCAATCGATCACTATGGTCAACATTTTGATAGATGGATTGGATTATAAAGGCGCTTGCTTTTAGTTGCTGCGGTGCACCATCGAACACCTTCAAGTTAATATCATTCGAAAGGTAAAGCATGGTATCCCCCCATTCAACACGACAGTCGGAGTGTTCCATGTCCACAGCCCAATTTCAACATTTACTAAGATCGCTTTTACCGCCGCATCTGTGTTGATGAAACTACTCTTACTGCGCACCTACAATTCCCTCGGAGTAGGTGACATTCACCAATGGGCACTGAATGTACAAGTAACAAGGCTGGCCGAGCCGTTATCGCATTTTTTCCAAACGTGCATGAATGAGAAAATTGTGCCTACCATGTGGAAATATGGTCTGATCGTGCCAATTTTCAAAAGTGGTAATCCGTCGGAACCTGCCAACTATCGCCCAGTGGCCCCCTTCCCTGTACTCTCAAAGGTGATAGAGGTAATCATCGCTGAGGCTTTAGTCGATCATCTAGAACGCCACAATCTCATACCACTCGAGCAGCACGGTTTCCTTCAACACCGTTCATGCACAACCGACTTATTGGTCGTGCGCAGAAGGTGAACGAAAGCGGCCGATAAAGGTAGGGTGACCGAGATCATTTACCCGGACTTTTCCGATGCCTTTGAATGGCTGGACTCGAAAGGTATGAAGTCGGGGGTCATGTCCTCGGATGGATCAGGAGTTTCCTGTAGAATCGACAACTGCAGGTTAGAGTTCGAAGTGCACTATCTGGTCAGATTCCTGTCGAATGTAGAGTTCCACAAGAACCAGTTCTAGAGCCAAGTCTATTTCTCGTGTTCATTAACGAGTGTTTGACTGCCCGGATTTCTTGTTGTTTGCCGATGATCTTAAGTTGTGGCGGACGATCGCCCACCAAGCAGATCATGATACACTTCAGCGAGACCTGAACAGAGCGTATGAGTGGTCACTCCACAATCTGCTCCAGTTCAATTCGGGGAACAGTAAGATGGTCCACATTCGCCACCAGCCGACCATCACATACAAGCTTGGAAACTATGTCCTGCTGACAGTCACACAACACCGCGACATTGGGGTATTAATTCAGGCTGATTTGTGCCGCTCAAAACAATCCGAAAAGGCGTCAAAGATTGGAAACCAACGCATTGGTATGTTGTGGATGGTATTCGCACGGTTTTATCCCTATATTTGTTTGCAGTTGCTTAACACTTATGCGCGGCGTTATATGGAATACGCAATCCAGGCCTGGCAGCACTGGCAAGAGAAAGATCTCGCGGCAGTCGAGACTCTACAGTGAAGAGCCACAAAGCACGTGTAGGGTTGTTCCATCTTCTACATCAACTTAGGCTGAGGACCCCAAGATTATACAGCAGCCGATATCGTCGCCTACTTGGTGACCTAATAATGGCCTCCCAGCTTTCGAGGAATCCCAACCGCCTACCTCCACTTGCTGTAACTCATCCACAACAGGAATCTGAAGGTCCACCAGTTCAAGTTTTTCACGTAATACAGTTTGCTAAAATGTTGGCGAAACTTTTATTCGTATGTGCCAGCCATGGAACGCCATCCCAAATTACGCTGTTCCCGCCCCCACTTTATGTTGTTTAAAAAACGCCTTTACGTTGTTCGAACCTACTTGTGTACATGGACGGAGGATAGTATGTGACGAACAGTGCGCAACGAGCACCAATCTGCAACTTTGAAGTCAGCCCTTTTCTGCATGGCTCTGTGATGAGTCCAGCAAAACGATTTTCATTTTATCACTTTGTTTTCTTTTCACCATGTTGTGGTTCTTATTCTGACCACCCTACGGGACTAGTTAAGCAGCATTTTTTACCCGTAATATACCGTTTTCCATCGTCTCATAACTCAGTCCTCAACCCGATCAACCAGTGTTCCGAAACGCTTCAGAGGGAAGGTCATTAATGAGGATTGGGTGGGGAAGCAGTTGGAAAGGAAAGAAGGAAGGTGCCAGTAGTAGCTGTTTGCGCTTATCCGCCCTGCTGTGTGCAGCAGATAAGGCGGGGGGCTTTAGATCGGCCGTTGCCGTTTCATTGAGCATCATTTTTACTTTATCTACTGCAGACGTATAGATTTTGTATGAATATTTTGACATCTGTTTTGTCCAAACTACTGCCGAAGACACCATGACCGTCTAACTCTCCATATTTTGAATACTAGGTTGAGACAACGCACCATTTTGAGATTTGTTGCTTTTGGTCGCAAACTTTTGGGCCAGTTGAAATCAGTCATAAAGGAATGTCTTCGCAAAACTCTACTCTGATGACTGGAAGGAACCCGAGGATGCTGTTTAGCAATTTGCGCTCAGTGAACAAGAATGAGGGCGCTTTTACTCGAGTGACATCACTGCACCCTTTTCATTTTTCTTTATCCACTGCAAACTATTGCATCTTTGAAGATGACATTTTACTTCATCCACAGTTGATACTGTAAAGCGCCGAAAATGCATTCGTCGGGTACATAAAGCTTATCTTGATTTGACTTGATGAGGTGACCCTTGACAAGCTGCGCTACGGCCGATGCAGGATGTGGTTGAAGTTTGAAGAAACAGTCATGGATGTACGTGGGCTGAGATACTGCCAGGGCGCCAGGACATTGACACGACGACGCTTACAGTCCTCAACCAAAGTCTTTGGTTTGGAAGCCCTTCCGAAAGGCAGCGGCGAGGTGGCAATGATGTGATCTTACAGAAATGAACGCCATCCCATTTCAAACTCTAACCTCCAACACGGAGGACTAGGAGACTGAGTTTATCTCTCCTCTAACCATTAACCAGCCTGGTAGGAGTAGCTCCTACGGGACCCCGGTGCACTACCCAATATAGCTCTATGAGTCAAATAGGTAAGCAACCCGTCGCACTACCTTGGAGTCCAATCTCGTTGCGACGGTCCAGTTGTCGCCCATAAGATGTGCCAGATTGTCTGACAGCCCTGGCCACTGGCTTTTTAACTTAGTAGTAACGGCAGCACTTACTGCATTTCGCCGCTCTTATCATGGCGAACTTCACCGTATGACCTCTCCTTTTAGCCTACATTTCCTCCACTCTCTGCCATATGCTTGGTATGAATAATTTGCAATAATAAACCAGCCGGTTATCTCTCATTTTGGCTTATTTCAATTATGATCTTCGCCAAGGGTGGTGTGCTAATCGAATCACTATCTCCATGCCTCCTTTATCAGTTGGTTAAACGAAAATGTAAATACAGTAATCAAAGATGATGAACATAATGTGACGCTTTTTTTGTTGTATTTCGACAGAGAGACGAACGAGAAAGATCTCGCTCATTTCAACGAGGTTGCAGAGAAGTATGAAAGAAATCATCTGGGAAACTATCGAATGATATACCCACCTGCAGACAAGGAGAAATACGAGAAGTTTCTCAATCCGCATGCAATGTTTTATCAAGAGACTGTAACCTACAAGGTGCGGAGCGAATGTGCTCGGTGAGTATAGTTTCCTATGGGACAGTATACCATCTTTAAACAAACTGAGCATGAGTTCACTTTGGCTAAGAAGCGAGGCTAAACTCAGTTTGCTCCAAGTTGATAGCAATAATATAGCCTGTGAAAGATCCTGTTTATTCGGTCTCAAACTAGTACGAACAAACCAAATGGAGACACAACATGGAAAATCACAAAAAACCCTAATGGAAAGCATCAGTCGCATGATCCGAAACTGTACTTAAAAGATGAATGCAAAAACCTTCGAACAATTCGACTGTAATCTATTATATAGTGTTTTCAGCTCCTTTAGCCATTTGAAACAGCGTCTACTGCATCGATCTAGGTTGAGAGTGCATTCTAACTTGACAACCGCTACCTCTTTGAACGTAATTCTGTCTAGCCATTCGGACGGCGTCTACCTAAATGCAGCGTATGACGTCTCCACAAGGTTGCAGTCAATAATTTAAGTCAGAAGTCACTAAGTACGATTGTGTGTCGCAGTCCTGACACATCTGTGTGCCTACATGTGTTGGTTGGTTGTTTACTGAGTGCGCGGCAGCCACTGTGAGGGCGCCAAATTTATATTCCTTAGAAACCATTTGAAATAAAGTGGGCTAAAGGCCGTGGGAAGAACGGATTATCCCGATTTCAAGCATGTGTTCTAACTCTTCCCTACTTAACTTTTCTTGATAAAGCCGGCTGGCCATCCTTCCGGATGTGGTTTGTGGTTTGCGATACCACAGGAAGAACTGCGTGCATTTTCTGAACGATATTGGAGTAGTGGGAGAAAAGTTTGGCGTAATCTGGCGAGGTATGAAAAAAGGCGTATACCTGAGTGCTAAATCCGTGTCGGTGTCGGTTTCACGAATGTTGAGTTGTATTGCAAGGTCGACTATCCTCTGGCGTTTCGCATCGGTCAAAAGGTTGAACTGCTTAAAGAAGTCTATGCTGATGATGACAGATGGACATGCGACAACGATAAGCACCCAGCGAACGTTCACGAAACACTGAGGTTCGGTGTAAACGACTACCGATCGTATGTGGCTATTAATGTACTACTGACGACAGCGCAGTTAGTTGACAAGGAAGTAATCGGCCCATATGAAATGAGGACAGTGATATGAATCCCCCCGGTATGAACTAGGAACTGGGTCCCGGAATCATAAACCCTAAGGTAGACGAAACGGTTCTACATTTTGCTGACTCTATTAGCCGTCAGGCGGCTCTTTTTAAAGATAGAGGTCCGTCACTTGTTCCGGAACTAAGTTCCCTCCTCCAAAACTTTTGGACCATTGAAGCAATCCCTTCCGCTTGGAGTCTGACGGATATCATGGCCGTCTTCAAATAGGTGCCCGGAAGGACTGCGCTAACCACAGGGGAATTTATCTACTTTACCTTGCATCTAAAGTGCTCGCCGCCCTGCTTTTAAGCAGGCTCAGCCTGGTACATGAACAAAACATACGCGAAGAACAAGTTGGGTTCCGCTCCGGCCGGAATTGTATCGCTCATATTTTAACACTCCACCAAATAGTTGAGCGTCGTCAAATGTTGGCTGACCAACGATAGTTGTCTTCTCATACATACGAGTTGCGTTTGGCTCAGTTGACCGAGTTGTTCTGTGGAAGTATCTTTTGAGAAGGTGAGTGCCCTAGAACTACATCAACATTCTTCGAGCCATCTACTGTCGAACGTGGGGCCCAGTACGGGCGTATGGCAGACTTCCGTAGCCCTTTAATATCATTCTTGGCATGAGGCAGGGCTGCCCAGTATCACCTGTCCTGTTCAATTTCGCTATTGATGACATTCTGGAGAGCGCTCTGGAGTATTGCGGGACCCAGCGGTGTTGAACTGCTTCCGGGGGACCAACTTCGTAGACGACATCGCCGTAATTTACGACCCCTCACAGACTGCCCAAAATGGGCTGTACAGTTTGGTGGTGTCTGTCTTTTAGTTTTGAAATGACCTTCGCCTCTTCGACGTGTATGGTCTTGGTACAAGACCGGATATGAGCTGCTCCCACCCTTACCCATTCAGATGATTCTCTGGAAGTTTACCTCAGAAACTACATCAGCGCTGACAGTTTAACAGATGAGAGCACTTTGCACGTCACTAAGACCCGCGTTACGTTTGCTAATCTCCGTCATCTCTGGCTTCGCCACGACCTGAGTCTCTCCTTGAAGGACCGAGTCTACAATGTCAAGGAGAGAGCGATCCTGCTCTATGGTTGCGAAAATTGGCCTGTTCGCACAAAGCACGTTCAGTTGCTGTCTGTCTCTGACCAGTGCTGTCTTTGGAATATTGCTGGTGTACGGTGGCAACACAACATTAGTAATAAGAAGCTACGCCGAAGAATTTTGCAATCGGACAAAGTTTGCCGGCCGCTGAGCCGCATAATTTCACTGCATAAGCTTAGGATGCGCGTACTTTGCATGCTTACTGAGCGTTAGCCTCACCGTGCACCTTTTACCTGCACAGAAATCGACCGGAAGCGAAGATAAGGGGACCAGAGTATGACTTGGGCCAAAAGTATGAAGGCGTTGAGTTCACGTTTGGCCGCGGTCGGCGCTCTAGACTCCCCGGTTGGGGGCGCAAGGACCATCAGCACACTTGAATGGAAACCCTATTGGATTTGTCAAGAAACTGTGACCAACGATGAACATGTTATGAGACTGCCCCTATGACTCCAGTTTTACACTTCTTTTACCCTCTCTATCCCCTCCTTATTGTTGTATTATATTTGTCCATATGTGGTGACTGATAATTATACTGTTGGCCGTGTTCTATATATATATATATATATATATATATATATATATATATATATATGTATATATCTTCGCCACTGCTGACCGAGCTGGAGATTTCCCTACCTTTCAACGGAGTAGTTGCACCGGTACTCGTACTTAGGGGCTTTGTGAGCGTAATGATAAGAGCAGTAACTCGGTGCATTAGGCTTCGGACGGTGGGGCGATAACCGGGACCGGTGAAGGTGCTTACGTTTTAGAGTTACTTTTTAGACTTGGTGCTGTAGTGTCATTGGTTGAGCTGACAAAACATGCATTACCGGCAGCACGCTAGCCGTGAGAGTCACTGTGGCTGTAACAGTGTTAAGTCCGCTGTTTGCACTTGCTTCCGTTGGTGGATGATGGCATTCGATGACGCGGACTGCTAGGTGTGCAACTGTTAGGATTAGCCGCATGTTTGCTACCACGAGGATGACCTGTGTGTTGTCCTGTAGGTGTTGCATCCACACTTCTTGGAGAAGCCTATTGTCCATTTGGACATCCTAAGGAGTTACTGGGTTTCTCGCAACAGGGTGCAGGGTAGCTATCACAATTATAGACCTTTAAACAGCTAATATAAGCGGACGTTGTTTAAAGGTGACCGGGAGTAATAAACAACGTCTCTCACGTGCGATGCTTTTTCATTGTGGAAGATATGAGCTGGTTATACGTTTCGAAATCAGGAGAACTTATACAATTGCAAAACAACCCGTAGATGCATGAATACTAAAAGCGAATCCGGCTTAAAAGTGACACAGCTATAGATATGACACTAATAATTTGCGGTAAAGGCTTATCCTCTACTTCGCTCATCGTAACAGTGGCTGTATATGTACTGCCGGTGAATGGTTCATCAAAATCGTTCACCGTACGAGTGCGTGCATGTGTGTCATAAGAGATAAACGGAACCCCAGCGATGAAGCTAACGACTAATGGCACGAGTTCAACAGAATGAAAACTCCAGATGGTGGAGTTCCAAGCCGGGGTCATCAAGTATAGGGCATGACTCAAACACTGCGAAAGCGGTAACATGTAAGATACGTGTCAAGTGCGGAATTATGAGGAGGATAGCAATTGAATCCAACCTGTTCTTCAAACGCTATAAGCAATGGAGATTCAATCAGCAAGAACTGCGAACAGTATAGCGCACGACTGCCCGAACAGGAGCAAGTGGAGGATACTTACAATCAATAAAACAAACGGAAGATCGCAAAGGTGCATATATATACATATATACATATATATATTCAACAGTTTAATACTTGGTTGAGTACCACAACACAAGGGAAAAATCAGTAGATTTAAAGGGAAAACGACGGTTAGAGAAGTAAAGTCTCACAGTAAGTACGCCGCTGCGTACAGTCCTTGGCCATATCCAGTAGCGTTGGCAACAAGTTGTGTTCAGGATCCATTGGTCCCCAACCCGGGAATCGGGAACGCCCATTAACGGCTAGCTTCGACATTTGCGCCTTAATGCATTGGATCCAGGTCTTACGCTGGCCTCCTTTTTGTCGCTTCCAACCCACGGCTGCGCTAGCAAATAGAGCACGTCGTGGTAGCCGCTGAGTAGGCATGTGAAGCCTGCGAATCCTCCGTTTTCATTCGGCCAACAGATTTGGTCAGATTTTAACACTTGCCAACGGAACTCCTCATTACTGAAGTTATGCTGCTGTCGACACCAGCAATGCTTCACAGCTAGTGGTGATCGAATACAGATAGCCGCTGAACATCACCTTTACTAACGGGCCAAGTCTCGTAGCCGTACACAGGAATCGCTCATACCGCAGCATTGTGGACTCGTCCCTTGAGAGTGATGCTGTGGTCATGACGAAATCAGAAGTGACGAATGTTAGCAAATCTACTCTTGCCTTGGAGACACGCAATGCGATTTTATCCTTCAAACTGCCAATACGAAGACAATACCTAAGGTAAATGAATTTGTCGATCACTTCTAGCGACTGCCTCGAAAGTGTGGGAGGTAGAGATGCACTTAGCCAGCCCACTTACAGGACTTTGCACTTGGAAGGGGCAACGGGCAACCCAAATCGGGAGGCAAACATCTCTAACCTAAGCGGTACATGATTGGCGGCCTTGGAAGGTTCACAAATCCTAGCGATGGCATCTGGGTACTCCATTTCCCGAAAACCGTTACCCGGGAGCAGTTTAACGCTGCAGGAGTAAGAGTTTTCTGGCGCAGTATTCAGCATCCCTTCCATG